GGGGATGACCACACGCGGCCACCGCAGATCAAGCGCCACTGTCACCTTGGGTTCACGGCACAGACAATGGACAACGGCCGGACAGCGGGTTTACGACTGGGCTTCGGTTTTTTGGCCGGTAATTGGCAAACATGGACATACAACTATTATAGAGCTAAACCTGTGATTCCCCGCGAGCTCCGGTCCCAAAAAGTCATCAGTCAGCGAGGCGCCTCGGGTGGCGCAGAGCTGTTCCGGGACGGACAGTCGTCGTTCGGCTTCGGTTTCCGACTTCAGGCCACGAATGTAACGGCGACACCGGCCCACCAGTGCAGCGTCCGTCAGCAGCAACGGGCCACCTCCTGGCGGCGGGCTCCGTGACGGTCCTTGTATCCCGGCGTCACCGGCCCACCAGTGCAGCGTCCGTCAGCAGCAACGAGCCACCTCCTGGCGGCGGGCTCCGTGACGGTCCTTGCAGCCTGCTGTGTTCAGCTGGTCCGCTTCCCAGCTAGACGCGTCTCGGCGGCTCCGTTATCAGGTCACACGAGAACCCCAGCCCAGCCGCGCGCCGCTGCCCGCGCCCACAAACGCTACCATCTCGTCAAACAACGCCCCGCGCCGAACAGACGCCGCGTGGCCGTCAGACCGCGCGCCGAACACGACGCGCCGTCCGCCCGCCGGCGCATGCGTTCAACCCCGCCCCGAAAAACGGCGCGCGGTTTTTACGGGCCTGCCGTCGTGCGTGGCGGCGGGAGGGACCCGTGAGTCGGTGGTAATCACCGCGTGGTAACGGTGCGCGGCGGGCGGCTCCCCGCCCGCGCCCACCGGCGCCCGCACGGAAGGTCACCCGTCACCGGCCGGAGCAGCACCGCCACCGGCGCGCCGAGGTCAGCCGAGGTTACGAGAGGTCACAGCAGGTCGGGGTGAGACTGGGATGGGATGAGCGGAAGACGGGACCCACGGAGGAGGTGGCGGCGGCCTGGGAGTCAGTTGATGGATCTGTTCGCCGGCTGGCGACTGAGGCCGTGAGACGACGGAAGGAAGCGCGTATGCGCCCGGCCGCAGCAGAGAAGGCCTCTGATTTCCTGGCTGCAAGTAGGGGTATATTAACGTGGTGGCCTCGGGGGTGACGTCTCCCCTCCTTCCTATATCAAATGTATTGCCGGCATTTAAGGGTGGGTGAGTAAATGATGACAACTAAAACTTCGTAAAACTAGTAAAACTAGTAACTAAAACTATTAAAACTAATCAGATCGAAGACATGCCATGTTGTATGACGTTATACTAGAAATGTCCGCACCTGCCGCGTGGAATTAAATGCTGCACTAGGTTTTCAGCTGATTTTTTCAGTTCTCCCCCCCCCCGCCCTTGCTAATTCCTGCAACGCCCCTGGCTGCTAGCACGATACGCAGCCGTTTGAGATAAAATGGTAAAGCTTCACTACGGCTTGAAGCTCACAGATGTTAGAAACTCGTTCACAGATTGAGAATGGGGGTATTCACTGGGAAGAACTGGGAACCCAGTTACCCAGACATTTTAACCCAGAAAAATTCCAACCCATGTTAGGAACCCACAACGACAAGCAATTGCATACAGAGAGACTGACAAGTCTGTAATACAAGTCTGTAAATAATAAGTCTGTAATAATGTAATAATGTAATATTTACAGGCACTCACGTACAGTACCTTTTCTCCCTCGCAGTCATCTGGCACGCACCGCTAGTCCCGCCCACAAACACTGACACACACTTCCTCCGCAGCCACTCCTGGCGAGTGTGTGCCCCCACTCGCGGCCGGGGACAGCTGCGTCGAGCGGGCGGGAGCGCGCCGCCACCGCACCCGACAGCCGGCAGTCGCGCCAACAAAAACGGTTCCGGCGGCGGCGGCGGCGGCAATCGCTCCCGCGGGCATCACCGGCCGTCACCGTCGGCCCCTCCCCTCACCCCGACCGCGGCCCCTGGCCGCCTCCTACCACGGCTCCGTATCGACTTGTCAGAGCGTGCCGGCTCGACCCGCCGTCGATGACGCGCCGCGACCGGCTGAGTCGGCCGATTTCGTCGCGGCCGGCCACGCACCGCCCGCATCCAAACGAGCACGTCGATTAAGCGCCGCCCGCGTCGTTAGGTGGCATTGTCGCCGTCGACGTCGACGTAAATAAGCGGCCGCGCCCGCCGTGATGTACGGCGCGGTGCATTGGCCCGCCCACCCGCATTATGTTGCAAATTGCCGCGGACGCCAGCGGAAACGTGATCGGCCCGACGTGCCGGGCGCGGCGAAACGCCCGCGTCGCCGCCGACAAAACGTGCGCGTCGCCGGCGATGAATCAACGTCGCCGCCGCGGCGACAAACGGTGGAGGGTCGGACGGGCGGGCGGTACTCACGTGGGCATCGCAGCGGACACGAACGAGCCGAGCGGCCGGTGGGCGCGAGCTGCCCTGCCTGCGCACGCGGCACAGGACGACGGCGACTGCTGCTGACAGGAGCGGACGCTCCTGAAGCGAGTCGGCCGTCGGCGCGCGGCGGGGCGGACACTGCTCACGGCGTGACACTGCTGGGGCGCGCGCGGCGACGCTGCGGCGGCTCGCCGGGCGGGCCACCCGCACCGCTCCGAGTCTCGGCGGCTACTGCCGGCTCGCCGGCCGGCCGGCCGCGCCGCCGCTGGCCCCGCTCCAGCGCGCCGCACGGCCGGTCGACCGCTCACCGCTGTCGGCACCGCTGCTGGATGCACAGACCGCGAGATGATCGGACCGGGCGGGGGGGATAGGTCTAAACCGACAGAAGACTAGACATCAGGTGGACACCAGGACACCAGGCCGTGTGAACGATGGCGAGGACGTATCGACGCACGGATAGCGATGGCGCGACTGGACAGGCGAGTGGAGAGATGGGCTGAAAAAGAACGGACGGCCAATGGTGCAACAGGATGGCTGACTGCAAGGATTGACGGACGGACGAAACGGGCAGGCGGACAGGGCAGAAGAACGGATGGAAGGACGAATAAGGGATCGGGGGGACGCAAGGGCGAACGGATGGCCGGACAGATGGAAAAACAGACGAACAGACAGACAGGAGACAGCAGACAGCACAATGTACATGACTGAAAGGACAAACTGACAGACAGACAGACAGACATACGGGCATGACGCGCAGAGAAACGTATGCACAAATGAAGTGATGTAGAGTCGATGATCGGACAAGCAGGCAGATACGAATGAGGCGCGACAGAGGATCGGCAGGACAGAAAACACGCGTCCAGACGATAGAGAGACAAACAGACGCCGAGCGGGCGCCGAACGGGTGCCGACCGGAGGTAAGAGCAGGCGTCGTGACGACGGATAAACAGGGGCCGGCGGGCCGGCGTTGTGACAGCGCGCAGAGAGGTGGGCGCAGCGGCGAAGATGGAGCCCACACACGCGCAACTGGAGACCCGGGGCTCGCCTCAGGCCCGAACGGGCTGGCTCGAGCCGTGCTGGGCTTGTCGATGTTCAGGGGTCTGTTTTATTGTGACGAATCGCAAGAAAGACAAGCGAACTGCGTGTTTGTTTTGCACCGAACACAAAGGATCACTTGTCAGACCTTGGAAAAGAGGATTACCAAGCACGCCTTGCCCGTGGCACCCTGATTGTCAGGTAAGGGTTTGCTTAATAGGTCAAGGAAGCCAAGTTCACTTTCTCGATCTAGTTCAGTTTTTTAGTTCGTTTTATTGAACACCAAAACTGCAACCAAGCCAGTGACAAGTGTGTATACAAAAACCACGCCTATCGCTGCACTAACTAGAGCATGTCAGCCAATATCGATCCGATATTTTTTCCGGAAATACAGCACTGAGACCGTGTGCTAGATAGCACGAACCATCGGTGCTGCACTGCAGCGTTGGCAGAGAGTCATTCTCCCGAAGGGCGGGAGGGGGGGGGGGGGGTGCACCGGCCGCCGGCCAGGCCCGGCCTCCTCTCGGAAGTCGCAAACTCTGCCTACGTCCACACAGGGCCTGTCTCAAAGCACTCGCTGCTGAAAAAAACGGAGACAGTAGCCGGCCGAGGTCGACAGTGGTCTGCTGACGGCCGAGACGCCGTCCCCTTCCCTCCGCAGCCAGCCCCGCACACTTCACTTGCGGGAACCGGGGTCCACCTGGGCCAAGTCACCCCAATTCCTGGCGTTCAGCGCGTCGGCGCGGGCAGGGACGCACAGGAAGCCGACAGAAGTATGCCCGCGGCGGATTCCGGGAGCATCGCCGCGCCAGCCCCCGCCGCAACATACCGCGGCTTAATTTCTGGCATGGGCGGCAGGCGGCGGCGGTCGGGGCGCCGCTCTCAGCCGGTGATGTGGCCGCGCGTGCCCGTGCGTCCCGGCTACACACGGCCCGGAGCTGCCAGCGGGGCCGCGGGGTGCCATGGCGCTGCCACACCCCCGCTTCTGTTGATCGGTGCCACGGCTCCGTCCGCTGGCCAACGGTCCCGGCGGTTCAAACGCCGACGGTTCGAGTGCGCTGCAATCGACCGCCGCTGCTCAGATCTGGCGGCCGTGACCGGCGTTTGGTGCTGATACTAGGCATCAATGATACGCGATCGCCACCACATGACGCGCGCCGCCGGTATGGTGATTGCATGAAGCTCCGATCAAGTCCGCGCTTGGACGGCGAATGCACGGGCTACACGCGAGCTTCTGGCGGCCGTACACCGCCGAGGTCAGGCATTCACGGGCTTTGGGTCAAGGTGGACGTACGGGGAGGAAGTTTCGGCTGTCGCCGGCCGCCGCGCGCCACTTCAGAGTGGTTACCAACGGCCAGGCGCCGGTAACCGCGCGGCCGTGTTTTCGTTTGAGCCGAGGAGTGACGCGTGATGGACTGTCCGCCTCCAGAGTGGGGTTGAGTGAGTATATTTGACAGGGGTGCCGCGGAGCGATGAGGCCGTCCGACGGGCCGTCACAGTGCGCCGGCCGGGGCGTCGAGCCTCTGGCCTCGGCCGTCGGAGCGGCAGGCCGGCGTCGATCGACGCTCGGTTCGACGTTGCGGCGCCAAACGCGACGTCAACTCGCCCGAGGGCGGAACGAGCTATTAAAACCGGATACAATGCGGTGTAAGCCGTTTCTTACGCGCACAGTTTTCTTTCGGTCTCCGTAAGACACAAAATGGTTCGTTTAGTTGCGCTACGGTTATGCATGTTAAGTTATAACGGACGGTACCTACGCCTTTCTCAGAGTCGCACTGCCGCCCTGCATCCACTTAGCTTAAACACCACCGGAATGCCGAGCTATATTACCCCGGCTTCGGGCCCTCCCATAAGCCGCTTCGACCAACTTCACCTCGCAAAGCCCAGCTGGGACTCTCCTGTTGGCGTAGAGCTTAGACCGGTCTTGTCGAGCGATTTGGGAGGAGACCCTAACGTGATTAGCTGGCATGGTTTGGCACGTCATTGACACGTGTGTGCCGTGATCGTGTAGGCGGTGATAAAGCATCAGACGTTCGGCGCCGCGGCCCCCAACTCGCGTTACCATGTATCTGCGGTTCTTCGACTGACTGCGCACGTGCATTGTTCATGCGATTCGTCATCCGTCTTGGTTTCGTTCGTGGTCGGATCCGCAAACCGTACAGAGCTGCTTTCTCTCGCTGTTCCTGCAGCTGTGTATGCCTTGTCTGCCGCACGACTCCCACTCCTCTGCCCCCCCCCCCCCCCTCTCCCCTCGCTTCCTTGCTCGAGGATCCGAGAGCGTCGTCACCTAACGTCATCGTCGCCCCCATCTCCACGGGGTCGTCGTCTCTCCTCGCTAGCGTCGGTGGGGCTGCCTCCGGCGATGTCCGATCGGCTCGACCGGCCGAAAACAATGGACGCCGCCACAGCGCGCGCCCGCGGAGCCCGAGAAAGCGCGTCAAGCCATCAGGCGCGCCGTGTGTCGGCTGTCGTGCGGCAGCTTTATGGCCGCCCTGGCCGGGCCGCGGCCTCGGAACGACGGACGACGGGGGAGGGGGGGGGGGGACGTTAACTGAGTCATCGGACGGAGGACGGACCGGTGCTGACGGACAGACAGCTGATCACAGCTGAATCATCGTGCGCGAGGTGTGACTTGTAGTCGTGCTTCCTGTGACGACTGGCCGCTGGCTGAGGCTTAGCCCAGCTGAGCCCGCAGTCATCGGTCAGAAACGCCGCCGACCTCAGGCTCCGCTGGGTTAAACGGCATTAGCCACCCCCACCACTGGTCGAAGCACCGCCTCCAATGGCTGCTCATACTCAGAGAAAAGCTCGCCAGCTGTTCGTGTAGCGGGCGTGGGCGCGCTCTGGGCCGAGCCTTACCGCTGGTTACACTCCCCCCCCCCCCCGTGACAGCTCACAGAGGCGATGACTGTCGCTGCAGGCCGGAAGGAGCTGGCGATTGTACGGAACTGTGCCGCCACGATCACGTGACCCGAGGATCACGCCGCTGGTCCGTCCGGCGCCCGATCCTCGGGGTCACGCACCACGCCGCCGCCGCGCTGGGCTCGCCACCAGCGGGGCACAGTCGGCGCCGGGACGGCACCACGTTAGGCGGCGGCACGTGCGGCCGGGCGACCGCGGCCGGGGCGACCGCGGCCGGCTGCAGAGTTTGGGTTGCAGCCGGCCGGCGCGCTGCCGCTCGTGAGCGTGGGTCGAGCTGGCTTCATAGCCGCGCCGGCGCCGCCGCCGCCAGCCCCCTGGGCACGTGCCGCACGGTCCCGACAGACCCAGCCGCGAATTAATGGCGCACGTGAACGCGGCACGTGACTGCAACCGGCGCCGCTCGGAGTTAGTGGCCGGGTCTGCTCGGTTTGACAGTGGGGGCGCGTGATTTAGTACTGGGCTCGTGTCTGTCCTTCATTGTTCAAACCAGCTAGTTGTAGACGTCTATGTGAGCTGCAGTCTGTTTCTCGGATACGTGCAGCCGCTGCGGACCGTCAGCAAGTAACTCGGAGTCGACACGTGCTCGAGCCGTCTGTCATGTTTGGATACCAGCCCAGTGTCGCTGTTACAGCCACTGTTGTCTGCAGCTAAACTTCAGTGTGTCAATGTGCGCGCATCCGTGGCGGTGACATCAAACATATGTGCCTCGCCTAAACATCATTTGTGACGGGCAACTTTGCCAAAACTGTGACTTCTTGTTTCGTAATGTTGCTACAAGTGGGCAATTGGCCATGGGTGGAAGTTATTTAGCATTTGGAGCGATTTGAGCCTCATGTTCCTGAACTTAGATATGACGTTTATCGCCATTGTAGAGAAATGATTGGCTCAATATGCTGGGATCTAAGCGCTTCTTAACTGCTACTGTGAGACCCATAAGCAGTGCGATCCATTTGTTTTGACGTCATTTTATATGATTTAAATGAAAAATAAATCAATTTGCCCAACAGTGCCTGGGATCAGCGTCACACTTATATCAGTGGTGTTTAGTCTTACATCCATGTTCATGTGTACTACAAATTATTTAAGATTAAAATTCCTGGATCCACGTGCCGATTCCAATGAGACCCCCCCCCCCCCCACTGGGATTTTGCACATGTCATCTCGTTTCCCA